TGTTAATTATTATAGCTGTTTATATTCCACCTGATGCCAATGTCAGCATGGCACTTTTTAAGCTATATGACATCATCTCCAGGCAGCAGCAAACTCACCCAGAGGGGTCCTCTTGTGGCTGGGGACTTCAATCAAGCCTGTTTAAAGACAGTTTTCTCTAAGTTTGTGCAGTACTTGCAATTTTCCACCAGAGGAAAGAACACTTTAGACTGTGTGTAGTCTAAGCTGAAATAGGCATATAGAGTAATCCCCGTCCCCCACCTAGGTACATCCAGTCATCTTTCACTTCTGTCATGCCGAAGTATGTCCATCTCAGGAAAAGGTTAAATCTGGTTAAAATGGTTAAAATCTGGCCAGAGGGTGCTCTCAGTCAGCTGCAGGACTGTTTTGAAACCAATGTGTGGAGTGCATTTGAACATCAAGGCCTGCATGAATATACTGATGCCATATTCTCTTACATCAAAGTGTGCACTGACAGTATAACAATGGACAAGTGCATCAGAGTCTATGGGAATTGTAAACCCTAGATGACTGCTGAGGTATGGACACTTCTGAGAACCCAGGATTCTGCCTTTAAGGCAGGGGACAGGGATATATAGAGAGAGCACAGGGCAAACCTTAGAAGAGGCATTAACAATACAATATAGGGTGGAGAACCACCTAGCAGATAATAACCTGAAGCAAGTGTGGTAGGGACTGCAGCACCAAACTAACTATAAGGGCAACACAAGGAACATGGTCAATGCTGATGCCTTGTTGGTAGAGGAGTTGAACATCTTCTCCCGCTATGAGGTGAAAAGACCAGACTCTGCCTTCTGATTCCCAGCTACTCCCCCTATATGAAGATCAAGTGAGAGTTGCATTAAAGGCTGTGAATCCCAGTAAAGCTGCAGGTCCAGATGGGGTCCTGGGGATAGTGGTAAAGACTTGTGCCAATCAATTAGCAGGGTTCCTGACAAAGATCTTTAACATCTCCCTGCAAATAGCCTGTGTTCCATCATGCTTGAAAACAGCCACTATTGTTCCAGACCACCACCACCCCCCAAAAAAATAATAATTAACTGCCTAAATAACTACAGATCTACCACATTAATGTCAGTATTGATGAAATGCTTTGAAAGACTGGTTCTCCAACACCTTAGGACATGCCTCCCATCAGACTTTGACAAACATCAGTTTGCCAACAGGCAGAACAGGTCAACAGATGACCCCATAGCTACTGCCTTACATTCTGTAATAAACCATCTGGAGAAACCTGGAAACTATGTCAGAATGCTTTTCACTGACTACAGCTCAGTGTTCAATACTATCCTGCTGAGCATCCTTATTGAAAATCTGACTGACTTGGATTTTCCCTCTTTCATCTGTGACTGCATCAAAGACTTTCTAAGAGACCGATCATAAACAGTGAGAGCTGGGTCTGTCACATCCACCTTCCTGAAGCTTAGCACTGGCTCCCCACAGGGCTGTGTGCTCAGTCCCTACCTGTACTCATTGTGCACACATGATTGGGTATCGTCTGACCCATCCAATGGGATGATTAAATTCTTGATGATACTACCATATTGGGTCTCATTACAGGTGGAGATTGTTAGAATATGTGCAGAGTAACCCTTGTATAAAAAGGATAGGCACACGGAAAACAGTTTATGAGAACAGTTATGAATAATTATACAGCCACACAGAGTTGAACAAGTTGTGTTAATGTTTACTTGAAGAAATAGCACAGTCCAATAAGCAGCCCATGTCATACATGTTTTTAACAGTCCAGAAATATCCAGTTATAAAGTCTTCTTACCGGTTTCATGTCCTTTACAGCAAATATCAAACCATAATACAACAGATAACCTTTGATATCAACAGAATATCAAAATAAACATGCTTAATCAATATCAGTCCATAGTCAGTCAGTATCAGTATCAAGAGAGATCATCAGTGAAAAAGAGAATTAAACCACGATCTATAGTTCCCTCTTATGGCAACTTGTAGCATAATTAACCATCCAGAACACAGCATAATACGTTACAGTATTTTGCCTTAAAGCTACAAACATATATATTTGTAGTTTATATATTGTCAACCCAACTACATTATTTACATATACATAACACTCTCCCCTTTGGGTTGGTCAATATATAATACATTACGTCTTTAATTCATAATTTTTTACACAATTAATAACTCATACAATTTCATAGAGATTAGAAGATTCTTTATCAAACTCTGCATACAATGCTTGTTTGACCTCTGTTATATTTACGTCTCTCTCTAATTGACCTTCTAGAAAACTCAGTACATATTGTTTGTTTATTTTCTTCCTCTACCTCCCCTATCAAATCTTTTGCAATTATAGATGGTTCTTCTTTTAGTGATTCATCAATATTTCTATCATTTGTATAATCATTGAACAATGGAGTTTTTACAATAATACTATGTTTCTTATTATTCTATTCTTGTTTAAACTTTCGTGAGCCAACATGTTCCAGAAATTTAGCACTTGCACTCCAATATATATTAGTAGTATCTGGCTCCCAAAATTTAAGTAATCTATGATTAGCTCCATAACCTACAAAATACAATTTCTTAGCTCTATATTGTCCCTTTTGCCTTATTTGCATGGGAATATGAACCCATGCTGAGGTTCCAAATGTATGCAAATAACTAAGATCTGGTTTTCCTCTATGCCAATGAGTAAAAGATAATTCACCAGTATTTAAATTTATTACATTATTCAAAACATGGTTAGCACACATTATTGCCTCATCCCACAGTTGCTCTGATATACCAGATATCATATTCCTAGCCATAACCTGTAATGTTTATCTTCTACATTCAATATATGAGTTATGTTGTAGCCTAGAAGGATCAGAATGCTCATGTTCAATTCCAGCTTTTTGTAACATGGTTTCAAATTTGTTATTAGTAAATTCAATATCATTATTTGTAATTAATCTAATAATTTTCTGTTTCTGTTTTCTTTCAGTCAAATTTAGCCAGTTTACAAAATACTGGTAGGTTTCTTGCATTGTTTTCTTTTTTTTATAATTTTTTTTTATTGGTTTTTAAAAACAAACATAAACAAACAAAACATAAAAACATCAAGCTATCTTCCATATGTGTACATACAGTGTGCCGGTTGGTTTACAGATTGTTTTGAGCTTCCATTTCGAAGTCTTCAATTACAATTACATTGCATATAATCTCATATTTTCAATCAAAAATTAAATACCTTAGTATCATTGTTAATCAATCATTTGACTATACTTTTATTCATTCATGTTTTACAAGATAATCATAATTTACTCAGTTTATTTTCTAACAGTTCATATTATCATCCCAAATCTATCCTAAAATCATTTTGTAGATATAATAAGAAAGAAGTACATATTTATAGCTTTGTTTTCATTAGGTAACAGAAACCATATCTGGAAAAATGATCCATAATACTCAGTATATAACAAGCTCCACTTATACTAGGTTTTCTAAGTCCAATGATATCAGCAAACACAACTGCTAATGGTTTACTGGTTTTCAGTCCATTTACCATATTTTCAGAAATCACCTTGTTTTCCTTTTTATTACAAATATTGCAATCTACATACTTTATACAAGGTTTTAAATCTATACCAGTAGATAACCTATGGAGTAGGTGAATACATTCATCACGAGGCTTCTTATTCTCATAAACTGAGTTAACATTACTTGATGGATCATCATTTATAATAAACAAACCATTTTCCAATCTTGCAGTGATACTTTTACCTAGTTTGTCTATTAAACATTTATCTCCCTTAAATGTTACTACAAATCTTGCTTTTTCCATTTCTCTTACAGATAGCAAATTAAACTTCATTCCAGGTACATATAACATCAGTAAACTTTCATTAATACATGAACAATATGCAGTACCTTCTCCATATGCTTTCATTTTCCATCCATTAGCTAATGACATATGCTGTTCACTCTTTCTTATGCTAACAAACCTCTCTTTACCTTTAGTTATACACTGTGATGCTCCACTATCAACTACCCATATATCATGGTTTATATTTGTAGTTATATTTGATATTGCTAAACTAACATTCTTGTGAGCTCGTTGTATATCATTCTGTTTTTTACCCTTTTTACAGTATCTGGCTATATGTCCTTTAGACCCACAAGAAAGACATTTCCTAACAATATAGGTAATTGAAGACAGTTTTTCTTCCTGTGGTTGTCTTTCTCTAAGTTGAATTCTATCTTGCCTTCTTCTTGACTCTTTTAACAGTCTTCCAGTTATGCCAGTCAATGTAAGTTCATCTCTGTTTAAAACTTCCAGTGAAGATACATAATCATCATAAGTTTCATCCAAAGAAGAAAGAATAATGTAAACCTGTTGCAACTCAGAAAAAATCAGTTCTTTTTCTTGTAGCTCCTGAAAAGTCCTTTTCATAAACTCCAAATGAGCTAACATATTGCCACTTTTTATAAGACAAGCTCGAAACAGTCTATGTGTAAGGTATATGTGTGCACCCACACTATCTCGAACATAAATCTTCAGAATGTCCCAACATCTAGCAGCAGATCCTTGACCACGAATATGGACTAGCTGCAGATCACTCGGTGTCAGTCCAATTATACTAAGAGCCTTTTCATTATCCTGGTTAAATTCAACTATTTTCTTTTTATCTTCATCGTTCAATGGATCCAAAGTTGTTACATCCAGTGGATTATTCACTACAATCTATATCCAATTGGGTTATCAAGGATAGACTGGTTGACTGTTCTTGTGCCATTGTAACAATAAACCACAATTAGCTGTCTGAATATGAAACTGTATATTCACACTGGTTCTCAATATCTCTCTGGGCCCATAACCAATGTTAGGATTTGTGCAGAGTAATCCTTGTATAAAAAGGATATGCACACTTAAAATGGTTTATGAGAACAGTTATTAATAAATATACAGCCACACAGTTGAACAAGTTGTGTTAATGTTTACTTGAAGATATAGTACAGTCCAATAAACAGTCCATGTCATACACATTTTTAACAGTCCAGAAATATCCAGTTATAAACTCTTACCAGTTTCACATCTTATACAGCAGACAAATATCAAACCATAATATAACAGATAACCTTCGATATCAACAGAATATCAAAATAAACATGCTTAATCAATATCAGTCCATAGTCAGTCAGTATCAATATCAAGAGAGATCATCAGTTAAAAGAATTAAACCATGATCTATAGCTCCCTCTTATGGCAACTTGTAGCAGAACACAGCATAATACATTACAGTATTTTTCCTTAAAGCTACAAAATATATATATTTGTAGTTCATATATTGTCAACCCAACTACGTTATCTACATATACATAACAGAGCTGAAACAGCGTACAGGGGGAGGTTCAAATATTATCCTCATGATGCCTAGAAAACAACCTACACCTAAACATCAGCAAGAAAAAGGAGATGGTATTAGACTTTTGTAAGGAGAGAAAGGAACCCACACCACTTTACATCAAGGGGGGCTGTGTGGAGAGAGTTTCTTCCTTTACATTCCTGGGAGCCTACCTCAGTGAAGATCTTACATGGAAAATCAACACAACCTAGGCAGCCAGAAAAGCCCAACAAAGACTCCATTTCTTTAGGGTCTTATGAAAGAATAAAGTGGAACAATGACTGATTACCTCCTTTTACCAGTTCACAACAGAAAGTGTTCTCTCATATTGCATTACAGTGTGGTATGCTGGTGAATAGAAAGACATTACAGAGGGTAGTGAGCACAGCACAAAACATTGTGGGCTGTTCCCTGATACCACTAGATGACATTGCTGGGGCTCACTGCCTTAGAAGAGTGAGGAAAATTCTCAGGGATGACTCACACCCCAATCAGCACTTCTTCACTCTCCTACCACTGGGTAGGAGATATAGAAGCATTGCCAGCTGCACCAACAGGCTGAAGAACAGTTTCTATCTGTGGGGTACCAGACTTCTGAACAGAAAATAACTTCATGTCAACATAGTATGATAGACTTGTGGGGCCGGCACATTGTGCAATAAGGTCACATAGTGTAATAAGATTCTGTCCTCACTGTGAGTTGTGTTGGTGGGGAGCACGAAGGGAGGCTCAGCCAATCTCATTGTACACATGCTGTACTCTGATAATAAAGATAATAATAATAGTAATAGTAATAGTAATAATAATAATAATAATAATAATAATAATTATTATTATTATTATTATTATTATTATTATTATTATTATTATTATTATCCCAAAATCTGAGGTTTGGATGACATACTGTATGATATGATAAAACTGAGATTGATATAGATTTCAAAAATTGCATTAAAAGTGCCCATATTGTCAATATGGGTCACAACCCAAGAAGCATTTTATAGGGGGAAAAAGGACTGCTAAAGAGAAATGGTTAACATATTAGGAGTTGTTAGAACAATAGCATGGAAAATATAAGATGAGATCAAGAGAACTGACTGCATAAGGATTTAGTTTTCAAAGGTTTTCATATGCACATTTTCAGAAAAACATTCTTTTTCACTTCTTTTTCATCAGCTTAAAGTAACTTTTAGCTGACCATATACTGGTTTTTCCAGATAGTTTGTCCTTGTGCTCTATGTACAGTAAGACAACGTATGACTGTATTGGGATCAAAGTATGACTGTATTGGGAAAAGCATTTGTTGTAGAGAGATATCTTCACCTTCTGGTAAATTGAACATAATTCTTGGAATCATGACAATGTCAATTGTCCAGTGACAATTCCAGTTTATGTGGTAACAATCCAAACAGTTCAACTGAATCAAGGAATTCTGTTGGAAAATGAGCAGTGTTAGCTCCTTCATTTCTACATTAAGGGAACAATGTTTTTTTCATTCATCATTCAGGGAAGCATCTAATGAATGTGGAATACAGATGTCATTTGTTTATGATGTGTCTCTCTAACTTGTGTAATGTTTGTGTAAATATTGCACCTGTGCCTGAGATTCAAAGATGTTGTATGTTCTCCCTATGCACAAGAATGGTAACACTTTTTAATGAAAAACTCCAGGCAGATGAGTTTATTGAGAATGCCAGGGAAGCCATTTGGCAGAATTCTGATTGAAAAGGTAAAAAAAAAGAAAGTGTCAATGAGTAATATTTATGGAGCAGCTTTATGTTAAGCAAGGATGCAAAGACCAGATTTACTCTTTAACTGTTTTTTTAAAGAATGAAGGAGTTTGAGAAAAAATAGTGTGCATTTCATTATTGAGAGAGATTATATAATAAGGCAAATAGATTTGATTATGGATTGTTCTGCATGAATATGAAAATTGCTTGCTGAATCTGATAAGAGAGGTATACAATGGGAAAAACATGTGAGAATAAATAGAATGCATAGTAAATGGTTCAGCATGCTTGGATAAGACAAGCATGTACAAAGTCTTGTTGTTTAATATATTTATGGATAAACGTATAACAACGATTGTAGGGAAGTTAGAAGTGCAAGTGTAATTTGTGGATATCAATATATATATGTGTTTTACTATGCATCTGATATATGTATATCTCTCTGTGTGTATGTATACAGTATACACACACACACACACACACACACACACACATGTGCAGGGAAGTAAAATCTTTGTGTATAATAGTGTGTTTCTTCACACTTTGCTATAGAGAAATGTAGTTAGAAATCATAGGAGAAATAGAATGGAAACGAGATATTTGAGAAGCCTGGATGGTAAGAAAAGAGATAGACCCATGAATGTATGAATGCTTAGTGAAAGTCAATTCGGTTAAAAAAAACCTATATTTTGAGTATAGAAATATATTCTGTATAGCAAGAAAAATTAGGGTGAAATTAAAATAATATATGAAGGAAGATTGAATGGCTGAAAAAAAAGGATACTGTAATCCGAGAATGGTGATTGAATGAAGTTGGTGACAAGTCTAAAGAACAAAAAGCAACTTATTAAAGCCTGATTTATAAAAACAGCAATGTATAGGCAGATAAAGTGACAGCTTTATATGCTCCCTCCCTACATGTGCTTTTCATTACATTCTATATGCACTATTCTTAACTTTGTACAATATTTTGTTCCACACTGTCTTCTTTCTATCAGCATGTAATATAAGTGCCTTGGCACTCTTACACAGTTAGTAATCATATTTTATAGCCATCACGATTCCCTTAAGAGCACCTAAATTTTATATCCTGAGCTCACACGGCATACCATTCTTCATTTCACCAAATTTTCAGTTTGATATTGTGTCTCACTGGCAGTAAAAAGATGTGTCCTGATCTTGAACTGATACACATGAAGGCTGTTCACTGGAAAATACCGCAAATAACATCGCGTGAATTTCCCATTCTAAAATTTGTGCTCAGGAAAGCTCTGTTTGTTTTGTTTTGATTGTTGTTCCATTTTGTTTTGCTTCATTATAATACATAATTCAGTTATAATTTTGTTTTGGCAAACTGCTGCAGCGGTGAAAAGAAATAAACAATATCTAGTTTCATAGCTTCAATAGTCCACTCGTAGCATACAGACAACAGTCTGTTTTTATTCACAGTGGATTATCTTATTACAGCTATACTTCCTGCAGCATTTCAATGGATGCTAGTCATCCCCACTGTTTTTTTAGATGCGGATGTTATTCTTTTTTTAAAAACATTAAATACATTTTATTGTGTTGGCTATAAATTTGTATATGACAAGATTACTATAGCATATGACAATATAACAACAAACACATGCACACATAAATGTTGGCCATGCATATATATCCATATCATTGCAAATAGATTGTTTTGTTGATTTTAGGTGAAGATAAAGCAAGTGATTCATTCTCAGTGTCTTCTATATGGAAAACACTTCTTAAGTATGTTTCATTATATTTTAAAATGTTTTTTGTTGTAAAAAAATCCCCAAACTTCAGCAATTTTTTAAAAAAATATTTTTAAATAAATAAATGGTATAAAACAGTGTATATTACTAAAAGAGTTGCTATTAGATGTAGTTTTCTTTACCCTCCAACAGGATGCAGGGTGCATGTGGAATGTAATTTTTAATTTCCTTACATTTTTAGAGGTTGTTTTCCACTTTGTGAATGTGGTCTGCATCATGTCTGAGAGATAAAATAACAGTGATAGCAACTTCAGTTGCAGAAAGCTCACAACTGATTCCACTTTTCTCCTTTAAAGGAGTGAACAATTGGTGAAGGAAGGAAGGGAGGAGGGAGGGAGGGAGGGAGGGAGGGAGGGAGGAAGGAAGGAAGGAAGGAAGGAAGGACATTATAGAAGTTATTCTGGAAGGCTCTCTATCATTCAGATGTTACTAGCAAAATGTCGGCTCCTGACTTCTTCATTTCTTGGTAAGTCATATCATTTTTTCAATTAATCCATAAAAGTAACAATGAATAAAACTTATTACCATATTCTTCTGATCCTAGTATTATCCATGTCTTACTAAACATGCAAAAAGTAATGTTTATATCCCATATCCCATTCTACTATGTATAATGTTGCAGTCTTGTATATTTCATGATGTGAATTGGGCAATGAAATTTGGGACATCCAGATTCAAATTTGCCTATATCTCTATATTTTAGCCACAGGGCTGTTGTGACAACAATCAAGTCTAAAGTGTTTTTACATCATTTTATATATCATAACAAATCAATGATAATTTATATGGAAAGTTCATATTAGATGTGGTGTAATTCCAGCAATCAATCAATCAGAATAGAGCTAGAAAGGATCCTGGAGGTCTTTTAGACCAACCCTGTGCTCAAGTAAGAGACCATATGCCATTTCAGACAGATGGCTGTCCAGTCTTTTCTTAAAAACTTCCAGTGATGAATCACCTACAACTACTGAAGGCCAGCTATTCCACTGGTTATTTTTTTTCACTGTTAGGAAGTTTCTCCTTAATTCTATGTTAAATTATAATTTGTGTGAATTGGGAATAATAAAGGGCCCCAAAAGAGTTGGCAGAGTACTAAATTCCATTACTTTTAAATAAGTTTTCAATATGGAGACTTGCAGTGTTAAGTGGTTTATTTTAAATTTGTAGGGTTTCACTGGTGGAAAATTGATTCATTTGTTAGATTGGTAGAATGTAATTAAATAGCAGAGGATTTACCAGAAGATAATGAGGAGTAAATAGCTATGGGAATATTTTCATATAAATTGCTGAAAGTTTTAAAATAAATG